CCCCCCAGAGCCCCCCTGCCATTCCAGAACCCCCCTGCCAGCAGCTTCCCAGGAGATCCCTGGAGCAGCAGTTGCTCTTCTACCACTGACCCAGTGTGTGATTTTGGGGGGAGGTGGGGGTTGTTAAGTGGTGAAGACTTGAATTTTTCCCAAGTTTCTCTTCTGAATCGTAACAAAATGCCCTCAGTGGTGGTTGGGGAGGGAGTTTGGAAGAGGGCCCAAGGGTAGATGGGTGTATGGGAGAGTGACTGAGTTTTCCTAGGACCCTTTTTTTCTATTGCTGCTAAGGAGGCAAGTAAAATGTTGGGCATAAATGGGTGCTGTCTTCTCCAGAGCATGGAGAGGAATGTGGACACACCTTTCCCTGGAGAGCAGGCTCACATGGCTTTGATTTTCTGGCCCATTTTTTCAGATACTCACCCCTCCTGCTCCTCTCTGTCTCTCCCAGGCCCTTGGCAAAAGCCCCAGTTACAGGGACAGAGTTTCACCTTCTCATGGGGTTGTGTATTCCCATGGGAGACAGAGGTAGCTGTACAGAGATTCCTGTTCTCCCTTCTCTCTGGCCCCTCTGCATTCCCTGGCCTTGCCTAATTCCTAACATCAACCATTTCCCATTTTCTTTTGGAATTACCAAGAGATAATTCATCTTTTCTTGCCACCAAACTATTTCTAACCCCCCAAAAAGGACAAATACAAGGTGTTGGGTGCCCTGCTAAAGGGAGAGAAAGAGTCACTTTTGTTCCAAACCAGTTCCTGTCACCTCAGTCATTGTGAGAAGGGAGCCAGGAGGAGGTTGGATTGTTACTTATTCTGTTAATGTTATTAATTAATTAAATTAACACTGCTCTGTGTGTTCTTTCCTCAGTGTTCAATCACCTAGGAAGGATCCTGAGGAGCTTAAATGCAAAAAGCAAAGATTAGGTATTGCACCTTACAGCAATATTTCATCTGCCTGTTTTTTTGTTTTTTTTTCCTGTGGTTTCCTGCCCCTTAGAAATCTCTGCTTTTGTATTTGAGTCGTGTTACCAAACTGAGGCTTTTCCACCTGTTCTTGGGGGTGTCACAGGGCCTGGCCCTCTGGTTGATCTTACTGGGGGGACCTTTTTCCTGCCAGCAGGTGACACAGCCCAGGTCTCTCAGGCTGGGAGCCCAGCCATGTCAGCAGAAAGGGTCTTGAAACTCAAAGTGTTCCTTCCATTCTCTCTTTGTGATGCACTTGTCAGTTCCTGACACCCCAGAGTCTGAGGAGAAGTCACTGAGATGTGAGACTTCCAACTGGTGGCAGGCAGAGACAAATGGTGTTTGTGTCAGCTGCTGAATTTGGGGGGGGGGGAAAAGCTAAACTGAAGACAGAGGAGTCTAAATCTGAGCCTTTTGACATTAAAAAGAGAGAGGAAGGCTGAGTGAAGGAGGATGGAAAAATGCAGCAGTGGGGCAGAAAAGTGCTCACTTCAGTGAGACTTCCCTGATAGCTCTTCCACTAATTGTTGGAAGGGTAAAATGGTGTCTCAGGCTGCACCCTCTGGGTACCAGCTGCACTGGGCATGATTTGAGAAGGACATTTCCCCTTTCTGGCTTTACAAAGACAGACAGAACTTCTCCTAAAAAAGAAACCAACCAACCACTCCTAAAGAGGCAGAAGTGATGCTCTGTGCTTTTCCTAGCACGAGTTCTGTGGGGAGATGTGGAGCTTCCTAGAAGCTGGAAGGATGGAAAACCTGTCCCATTGACTTCTTGCTCCCCTGTCCTCCTTCTAGCAAATCTTAGTGGAAGCAATTCCCACCTCTTACTAAGTCAGCCAGGTCTGCTGCTAAGGATGTGGCAGCACCTATGGCCTCATCTGCTAAAATGTCATTCTCTTCCCCAAAATGCTGCTGTGTAATAAGATTTCATGCCCTTATGAGGCAGCCCTGGCTTGTTGCTGGTTGGACTTTCTGCCTCCTGTCTCTGCTGCTTTCACACTGAAAGGAAGAGGTAGATCCTGGGTGGAAGAACATGCCACTTGAAATGAGATAACCCTGCTCGAGGTGGGATGAAGGAGCTGGGCTTTAGTGTGAAGAGAGATCCCAACTCATTTTTTTTTTTCTCTTTGTTTTTCAGAGTCCACCTCATCCTGGTGTAAAAAGAAAGCTAAAGAAGCTTCTGCTGGGGTGAAGTTGCCAGCCAAGGCAACGGGAAATATCCAGAAGCTCAGCAATGCCACCCCAATCACCACCTCTGCAGAAGAGGTTAGTTGAGGATTTGGAAATTGGGCAGAATCTGGGTGAGATGAAGGAGAAAAGGGGCTTTCCCTCATGCTCCTTGAAGCCAGGCCTGCTTGGAGCCCCAGCAGCAGGAGGATCTGGTCCATTTCTAGCAGCTCTTGGTGCTGGGGTTGCCTTCCTGCAGTTTGTGTCCTCTGCTCTAGCACCTGCACCTCAGGAAGGAGACAAATGTTTGTCTTCCAGCTACTTGACACTTGTTCAAGTTGATAGTTGTAGGGAGTTTGTAAACTGTTACTCTTCTTCTCAAGCTGGTAGTTAAGGAAACAAAACATATAACCTTACAAGAGCAAACCTGTACTTCCTCTGGATAAACCTCTTTCTTCTGGGCTCATTATCCACCAGTCCAGGAGGGAATTTTTGTAGGACTCTGTAAAACTGAGTCAGGAACTGCCTGACTCCCTCATTTGGTTCAAAGGTTTTATTTTTCTTACTGCCCCAGAGGACAAGAGAAGCATAAGAAACTGTCATGCTCTAATTATTTATTCCTGAAAGAGTCAGTTACTTTTATGTGTACAAAATATCTTTTTCAAGTGCTGAACTGTCACACTTGGGAATAATTAGGGGCTGACTGAGAACTCAGGGATACACTTTGTGCTGGTTTAATCCCTGAAAACATCTATTTAAAAAATCAGAATGTACTCAAGAGATCCTGTCAAGTTCTGCAGTCTGAGCCAGCAAATAATGGTCATAATAGAGCTGATGAAATGTCAGGAAGTTCATGCTTGCTTGGATTCACATTCAGGTGATGCTCACTTTGCTCCTTTTTTTCCTCTTTTTGAGGCTCAGTCCATTTCTTTTGACCCTTCACCTGGAAGACCAACAGGTTCTGCCTTAGGAGCAGAAATGCTACGAGTTGGTAAGGCTGCCATCAGTTCTGAACTTGTTTTTCTCCCCACCTTGTGTGCTGGGCAGCTCTGCCCCTAGGATTTGGTACAGTTTATTGCAGGCCCAGTGTCTGGGTGGCATTTAGGAATCCTTGAGGAGGAGCTCTTGTTTCTTCCCTGCATCCTTGCTTTGCTTCTGGGCTGGGTCCAGGTGTTTGTCTTGTCCTCTCAGTCCCAGAGCTGCTGTGGGTGCAGTTGTTCAGATTTGATATGTCCACTGGGAGCTTCATGGGATGGTTTGGAAGGGACCTTCAGGATCACCCAGATGCCACCCCCTGCATGGGCAGGGACACCTCCCACCAGCCCACGTTGCTCCAAGCCCCATCCAACCTGCCCTTCAACACTGCCAGGGATGGGGCAGCCACAGCTTCCCTGGGCAACCTAGGCCAGGCTCTCACCACCCTCACAGCAAAGAATTTCCTCCTCATGTCTCACCTCAATCTTCCAGCTTTCATCCATTCCCCGTTGTCCTCTCCCTACAAGCCCTTGTCCATAGTTTCCTTTTGTAGTTAACTGGTGGTTTATGCTCTTCTCTCCTAGATCCACCTTTTGGAACCACTACTTGCTTGACTAAGGACAGACTATCCCTTCCTCACAAGACAATTCGATGTCTGAGGTAAAAATCCTTCTGTTTTCTTTGCCTTCTTCTCTGAAAGGTTTGCTGTCTTTCACCCTCATTCTTACAGCTTCCTCTGTGTTGCCAAACATTGGTCTCTGTGTCCACATAATCAATATTTTTCCCAAGATATTCTGGAACTCCTCCAGGCTGCTGTATGAAGGGAGGTTTGGACCAGATGGTCTCCCAGGGTTCTCTGCTGGAATGATTCTGTGAGGAAAGCAGCAGCTACACCTGAGTGCTAGGGCATGAGCTTTTAGGAGAGCTGGAATAACACACCTGGATGTTTCTTTTCAGTGTGTTGACTCAGGGCTTGGGCCTGTTGGAGACACTAGGTCTTCACCTGGAAGTCCTAAACATCTTTCTGTCTTCATCATCATCAGTGCCTGTGCTTTACAAAATAGTTGGGGGTGGAGCTTGAACCAGGAGGTGCAGATTGGAAGGTTTTCATGCTATTTCTTTTGCCCTTGATGTTTCTAGCAAAAGCAGGAGTGGTAAACACTACATCAGACCTGGTCCAGACAGCATCTTGACACCAAGGCCACCCATCAAGGACTGCTCTGAGGCACCATCCTCCACCTCAGAAGCTGGCAAAGTGGGGAGGTTTTTCTGCACTGCAGAAGAGGTGGGTTGGGTGGGGGAGAAGGGAGGGTTTGGAAAGGAAAGAATTTAGCAACAATTCATGAAGCTGTGTGGAAATGTTGAATTTTAAACCATTTTCATGGCAATGGTGGCCTGGGGGAAGGACCCTCCAGCCAGTTTCTCTTGTCACTTGTCACCAAGTGTCTCATGTGTTTCACTCTTCCTTTTCTAAGCTCCAACTGGGATCTTTACAAATTTCAAAGGACAATGTAGGCAAAAAAAACCCACTCAGCTGCTGATAATCCTTCCTTCCAGTACTGCCTGAGAGGCCTTTCCCTCTCCTTGGAATATTCTTGGAAAATTCCTGAGAAACCTACTTGACATGGGAAGAAAACTGCTGGAGCAGCAGGACATGACAAACTGGGGGGTGTGGTTAAGATACCTGGGGACTCACAGCACCCAAGCATCATGTCTATGCACAGGGATGCAAATTAGCATAAATTATTATGCAAAGGCTGCAGGCCACAGCCAAGGAGAAGAGGCCTCCATGGGAGGAGGCAGTGGCAGAAGGAATTCTGAGGTTTATAGTGGGACACAAGTTCCCAGAGCAGGGCTGCCATAATATGAAGGTGTGGGTAAAGTGAACTTAGAGCAACAAGTGGGAACAGCCCACACTACATCTAGATTGCAAACAGTTGCCTCATACCTGGTGGTTCTAATCTCTTTGGGTTGTTCTTCTAGGATGTTTGGAGAGAAGAAAAGATGAAGTACCAGCAGCTCCTGGAAACAGTGAAGGAAAAATTCCCTGGAAGTCGCTTGAATTCAGTGCCATCCCATTTCCACAAGTAATTATGGGAACAAGAACCAATAAGCAAGGGAGAGAATTTGTCTGGCAGACCTGGAGGGACCTGCCCTTCAAGGGGAGAGGAGAAAGCGTAGATGGGAGCAGGGAGAGAGTTGTGACAGTCCTGGTTTTTAGCTGATTCTATCCCTGTTCTTCTCCCTGCTTTAACCACTAGTTAGCTCTGCAGCCCAGTTCCTGTGCTTAGTCACTAGTTCCCCTAGACTTGAGAGAAGGGAATAAGAGGAACATGTTCTTGCCTCTTTTTCTTTTCAGATTTAGCTACTAGTGTTGTCACTTGACAAGGTTTGTGACATCTCCTCTTGCCCTGCTGGGCTGAAAGCAACCCTGCTTGGAAGCAACCCTGAGTGTAGGACACCAGGAGAGTGCTGGAGGTCTCCTTCCTGACAAAGGGAGTCTTTGTGAGGATACACATTCTTGTTTTTGAAGAAGGAGCATCTTAGATGGACAACCTTCATGTCTGTGTGTTTGTTTGCTCTTCAGAGGCTGTGTGGTTTTAATGCTAATCCTCTCCAAATGGAGACAGTCATTCTCTTGAGTGGCCTGTAGAAGGCAAGTAAACATCCTGTAGCTGTCCCATCTTGAATTCATGTGCTGGTCTTAGTTTCTGGAAGCTTTTTATGTTTGGATGCAAGGAATAGTTGCAGATGTTCACATTAGACCTTGCAGTCCAACACCCAGTGTGCAGTATTGACCACTAGGAGATCACAAAGCACTTTCTGGAGGAAGTGCTGGTTGCTTCCCTATGTTCCAGGGGAAAGAGAAACAAAAGGAGGCTTGAACATGTAAAAAAGTTTGCAAAGCTCCCAGCTCTTCATTCTGTCCCAGTCTTGCTGCTGGAAGCTGAGATGGTAGTGTTATGTGTTCATGTGTGCAGCTGAGGCTCTAGTCAGCCTTGGAAAAACATTTCTTGCCCAGAAAGTGAATTATTGAGAATTTCAAGGGACACTACAAACATTCATCTCACTTTTCTCTCTCCCCCCCTCTCCTCACAGGTGCTACACAGCAGCAGCAAACTCTCAAGAACAGGGAAGACCAGTGAAACAGGCAGTTGCAGGAGTAAGTTGTGCTATTTGTTATTTCACATTTTAGGAAAATCTGGCTATTTGTGATCAGAATCTTTTGCACTGTTCACTTGTATATAGGGTAGATTGAGGTTGGACATGAGGAAAAAGCTCTTGACACTGAGGGGGGTGAAGCTCTGGCACAGGCTGCCCAGAGAGGTGGTGGAGGCTCCATCCCTGGAGACATCCCAGGTCAGGCTTGATGGGGCTCTGAGCAACCTGGTCTAGTGTGAGATGTCTCAGGTTGGACTAGATGACCTTCAGAGGTCCCTTCCAACCCAAGACATTGTGATTCTATGATAGTTGAGTAAGTAATGTCTTTGTCCTGGTTGTTTTTCCCAGGGAAAGCCAGATCATAATTGCATTATTTTGATTAGTGCTATCCCAGAGGGTTTCCACTGCCATTCATTTGGTTCCTGCACTATCATGAACACACAACACTACACTATTTTTATTCTTCCCCTTTCATGTGCTGGGTAGAGCTTCCAAATCTTTAGTGCACAGACTCAGTTGACCTGCAGAGCTCAACTGCTGTATCTTCAGGCTTGTTTTGGGAGAGAAAAGTAAATCTTTTTGATCCAAAGTAAAGTTTAAATCGTGGAAACCAGAAATACTCATCTCAATCTCAACTTGTGAGACTTTGCTGGGTCTCTTAGTGCTAGTCCAAGCTAAGTTAACTGTCTGGCCTCTTACCAGGTCAGTTTTGAAGGCAGTCGTCAGTAAAAAACAACTTTCAAGTCTGCTGGTTGGATGTGTGGACTGAAAACCCTTCCAGTTTTAGAGCTGAGGAAGCTTTTCTGCCCTGTCCCCTAGCAAACAAATACCTGCTTGCTGAAATGTCCTTTTGTCTAACAGAAACAGCATGGAGCTAGAATCTCCAAAGAAGAATTATTACAGCATCTGGTTCCTCTTCTGGCCAAAAAACCACCTGTCCTTGATGGGAAAGAAAAGAATGGCCTGAGCTCAGAAAAACCAGGAGAAAACTTCCCTCCCCTCACAGAGGTACCACAGCTGACTGGTGGTGCTAACCTGGGGGGTTTGTGGGGCTCCTGCTGCCAGCACAAAAAGCAGCCCAGGTTTAAGGACAAGCCTCTCAGAGCAGAGCTAACCTGATTCATACAGATCACTTGGCTCTGCCTCTTCACCTGTCCTACCATGGGGACAGAACCTGAAAAAATGAGCTTTTGCTGATTCACATGGCTGGTGGGGAACCTGAGCACCGTGTGAGCATCCTCAGGATTCCAGTCCTGTCACAGGGTCACAGCTGGACTTCCTTACACCCTTCACCAGGAAATGGGAGTTCAGGTTCCCCTGCATGTCTGAATTTTGGCTGCTTTTTTGGAGTTGCAGATCTAGTTGAGCACCTCCTTTTTTTGGCCCTTGAGGATGGGAAAGAGCTAGAAAATCCAGAGGTTACAAAGTCTGTAGAGTGTGCTGCTTAGTACCAGAAAACCCCAATGTTTGCCTTCTTTTGCAAGCTCATAATCAACCAAGAACGAGAAGCTGCTGCAGATCAGAGTATTTTATATTAACAGTGGCTTATTTGCATTCCTCAAGCAGCCTGAGATGGACACATCCATATTACAACCAGCTGCATGCGCAGCCTGGGCTCCTCCTTGCCTGACCCCACTGTAGCTGCCTCAGTTTCCCCCTTTGCTGTTACTTCAGTTGCCTTTGAACTCTCCCACCTTCCAAGTCTTTCAGGCTCCTGACTTAGCTGCCTGGGTACAGGGAGTCCCTGCTGTGGTTGGCTTAAACCTCAGGGTCCTGGGGGCTGCAGCATCACAGGGAAAGGTGTTTTGCTGCATTTCTGGTTATTTTTCAGCTGCTTTAGTGGGCAGTCCACGTGTTTTCTATCAGCTTGCTTGGTGACAACAAACTGAAACCCAGCTGGGCTCTAAAGCTCCAAGTTAAGATGTTGGAACAAAAGAATATTAAAAAGTGATGTTGCTAATTTAACAAAAAACTGCCAAAGCCACTTGTTCTGTCCCTTGACCTTCATTTCCAGGCCTGGTTTCAGCTGAGAGGTGGGCAGGCTCAAGCACTCTTGTCTCACCACTCCTTCCCCACTTAATTCTTCCTTCCAGGCCATGAAGAGAGAGGTCAGTGCTGCATTAGGCCAAGGAGATCCAGAAGAGGTCCTGAGCAGTGCCTTCAGGCTCAAAGTCACTCGTGAAGACCTCCAGACACTAAGCAACCTTTGCTGGCTGAATGATGAGGTAAAACTACCCAGTGAGCTTCTCATTCAGCATGGCCTTAAAAACACCCCTGCACTGGGTACAGAAATCATGTCAGAGTTACTGGATGAGCTCCACTGCAGAGCCTAGAAACACCTGGCAGAGTTTTTGCTTTGGGGTACGTAAGGGTCTAGTTATTTCTGGGGATGTCTTTGTTTCTTGGATGATGCAGCTTCCAGAAGTTGGTGTGGGTGAGTGGAGTGGGTGGCAGGTATTTTATTATTAAACTGCAGGAGTAACCAAGTCCAAAAGTCTCAGAACAAAAGCTGAGGCCTGAGCTCTCTCTCTGTGTGCACCAGGGTGGGCAGCAGTTGCTCTATCTTTCACTTGGTAGTGTTTTAATTTACACCTCAAGTTTATCCTCTTGTGGTGCAGGTCATTAATTTCTACATGAATCTCCTGATGGAAAGAAACAAAAAAGAAGGATATCCATCAGTCCATGTGTTTAGCACCTTCTTTTATCCCAAACTGCTTTCTGGGGGGCACAAAGCAGTAGGGAGGTGGACCAGAAAAGTGGATCTTTTCAAGCAGGACCTCATCATTGTACCCATTCACTTGAGAGCACACTGGGCACTAGGGGTAAGTCCAACTGGCCTTTTTATTTGGCCTTTTTATTTTTATATGTCTGGGGAGAAAAAAACCCTAGCAAGTCAAGTCATTTTGCTGTGTGTGCAGCAGGAGGTTGTGCTTTTTCTTTAACAGTCACCTTTTAATACCAGGTCATAGATGTCAGAAAGAAGAACATCAAATACTTGGACTCACTGGGACAAAGTGGGGACAAGATTTGTGACACTTTGTTGTAAGTACCTGCTTGGATGTTGTGAATGAATGGAAAGTTTTTGGAGTCTGGCCCTGCAACACAGCTGCCAGTTTTCACATTTCCTGTAGATAGGAAGCAAAGGTTTGACTCACTTGGCTGTGAGCTGGGTGACATGGGGCTGTGATCACCTCTGCATGGACTTCTGCTGCAGTGAGCAACATGCTCCTCAGCTTGGCTGTACCTCTTCTGGTCAGGGTTTTAAACCAAGCCACCCTCTTTCCC